GCTTTGACCCAAAATCCCCACATAAATCAAACACCTAAAGCATTGGGATTACTTCTTTTTAACATCCTGCACAAACACGATACAAAATAACCCTTCCCTCACAACAAAAAATCTCAGAACAAACCCAGAAACACATCAAAATATCACTCAGCCAAAGACACGAGTTTTTTTATTCTTTAACTAACTAAATGAACAGTCGCCAAAGTAATTCACACTTCAATTTCACTGGTACAGAAACGAGCAATTATAGAATTCAAGAAAATCTGGTTCTCATCACTGATTTCTTTTGCCAGAGAAGATAGCATTCTAATCTCGGCAAGGCTCTGCTCCAGTCGTCCCAGCTTTTCTGAGTATTCCTGCAACTCCTCGTGGTGCAACGCTAAAACAAATTTCTGGTCTCGAGCTATAAAATGCTCCAATGGCACTGGCAGTGGATTCGCTTCTTACGGTAAAATACTCAGTTAGGCTGAACAAAACTATTTTCATAACCAAAATGAAACTAATGTCATAAGTAATAATTAATCATAAATTCTTCTCTTCATTTTATGATCAAGTCAGGTCAAGTCGGGTCGGATCGGATCGGACCCCCTTTTTATGGCCCAAATGCAAACTACGTCGTTTTACACACCTGGAAAAAGGTCACGTTAGACACTCTTTATCAGCAATCGCTTCTCTCTTGGCAAGTCGCAGCCGGCTGCCTCTTTCCTTTCTCTCTGCTCTCGGCCGATCGCAGGCGTCTTCCTCTCCCTCTCGCGAGCTTTCCGTCTTCTCTCTCGCGAGTTTCGTACTCTCCTTTTGGAAGGTACACTCTGCTCTCCATCCTTTTTCGTAGAATTTTGATTATTTTCCAGGAAATTGAGTGAAAAGATCTTTTACTTCAGTGGTTCGAATTTGATCTGTCATTTTGCTTTTCTTCTTCGGTAATTGTTTTTCTTTCCAGTACAATTTTGTGTTTAGGAAATTACGATCGAGCCTCATAGTAATATCAAAATTAGGATCAATTTTCCTGATTAATGCGAAATTTTTAAGGTTTTAATTATTCTCCTAAAATCTGACGATTGATTATGAATAATTTCTTGATTGATTATTCAAAACTTTAGCTGCACTGGTTTGAACAGATTTACTGAAATTTTAAAAACAAGAATCTCTGGCCGTTATATGCAGATATAGTTTCTTTAAAGACTGGTATTATCAATTGAGATGAGATGCAACGCCTGCTGGCTTGAATTAGAGGGGCAAGCAATTTCCACAACCTGTGGTCACCTCTTGTGTATCCTTATGCATTTCAGTATTCTGCAGTTGCACTTGTCTGCATTTTCTATCCTTCTTATTCCATTGTTAAGATCAAGGAAATCGCTGGTACATTGCAAAGAGTCCTTGATATTCTAAACAGGCTCTGAAGATGCAAGCAAGATCCTTAGCAATGATGCAGCTTGTCCCATTTGTGATCAAGTTCTCTCTGAGACGTAAAGTTGGTCTGTCTTAGACTTTTCTTTCCTCTTTTCACTAGTTTCTACAGGTAAGAAAGTATCTGCTGATGCTAATTTGTTACCAAGCATCAGGGTTAGGATCATTCTGCGCTTCTTTTACCTTACTGTCTTATTAATCTCAATTCTACTCGCCTCATATGGGAATTTTGATTCTCAGTCGTATGAAACCGGTGGATATCAACCCGAATGATGAATGGATAAATGTAAGCAAATGCTTCACTGGGATGATTTTGTAGACAGCTTGTTTATACTGATTAAAATATCTCCCTACTTATATCTACACCTTGCTCTAGCTTTTCTTTTGCCTTCCATTGCAGTGCTGCTTTTTTATTTGTCTGCTGCTCGCTAACATGCTGCATCTTATTGCAGATGGCAATGGCTGGTGTGTCTCCCAAGATATGTATCCTTCGTAATCTAGACTTTGTAATTTTCCGTTTATATGCTCTTTTAGTTCTTAAACCTCATCGTTTCAGACACTGGATAGCTACTAAAATGGAATAAGAAGAGGATTTTGTTCGTTGTTTTTGATGTTCTGTTCCATTCGAAAGAGTTTCCAAATTCTGATCTATGAGAAAAAACCTTTTGAGACATGCATTTCCTTAATGAATTTAGTGATGGAGAGTGCATACAAAAGTGTGATGTTTTACATTGGGCAAAAGGAGTTAGAAATGCAGCACAAGATGGACAGAATTGTAGTGCAGTGGAGGCAGAAATCTGAGGCAATGGAAGAAAAATTCTTGGAGAAATTGGAACAGGTGCATAGCAAAGGAATAGACGTAACTGAGGTTTTGGATGACAGTGATGAGGTCTTGAGTGATGATGTAGTAAGAGGAGATTGTGGTCAGGAGGAGGAGGAGGAGGAGAAGGAATCTTTGGAGCAATGTAATGCATCTATTGATGAACAAAGGAGTTCAGGTATATTTTTTTCTGAACCTTTTAGGAATACATTGACGTATTGGCTAGAAAGACCTGTATGTTTTGCATGCCAGGAAGTTGTTACCGATGTCTGAATTGAAGTTAAAATGTGCTGTGTATTTCAGGGATCCATGTTTCTACAGCAAAACCAGCTTTGCCAGAAACGAAACCTGGTATGTTTTCTTTGGTTATAAATGGCTTAACAATGTTGTCAAAGTTTTCTGTGAATTTCTCAACAAAACATGGTTCTGTTTAAATCAACTAGAAGCTGATACTTATCACTTAACAACATGATGAAGCGGTCTGATAAACCATTGTAGCACTTTTCTTTACCTTGTGCTCATACCTGCATCTCTTGTCTTCAAATTTGTGTGCAAGATTAAGCTACCTTTAGGAACCAATATAAAATCTTTTGGACTAAGCAAAATTAGTGAGCTAAACTCTGCATTTCATCAACATTTCCAAATGATTCATGTTTTATTCTAGAGCACCTGTGATGATGAGTTGCTCATCTTGATCAGTGGCATTCTCTTTTGAAAGCAATTTTCTTAAAGTGGTTTAATTTCTCTAAGTAATTGGCATTTGGCAGCACAATCATCATCTCATCTTCCAACTTTCTAGATGGCGGGAAATGATATTTGGTCAATATATCAGATACCTGGTCATTCCATTTTTACTAACATTCATTATTTTCCATAGGATCTGTGCAAAGGTTTACGTCAGTTCGTGCAGCATCCTTGCGGGCTTCTGGTCTGGCAGCCCACAATGCAGCATTACAGGGAGTGAACTGTGAGTCTTGTTCTATTCGGGCGAGTAGTCAGTTTTCAGACCAGTGCACAGGCAATAGTAGTGGTTTTAATCTTAAAGTGGGGAAGATTAATCAGGCAAACGATCAGGGAAATCACGATGAGAACTCAATTGGTTTAAGAAATGGAGTCAATTGCAGTGTGGGTTCTTCAACTGCAAGAAATGCAGATTCAGGAGAAGAGTTGCATGAATGTGATGGTGGTTTAAGTTATACTGATTCTCAAGAGCCTGGGGAGTTATCTCAAGCTAAAGCATTGAATTTTGTGGAAAGGTTTGTAAATGGTAATTTGATGGAGTTTGATGATGAGGTTGCCCTTGGAAAAAGTATTAGCAGAAAGCCAAAGCTAATTTCAAGTGCCAAAGGGCCTCAAAGTTTGGCCAAGGGAACTATTAAAAGAAGCACAGCTGAAACCAAGATTTTTGACTGGGAGGATGAAGGAGGGGGTGATTTTCAGATTGCTGCTGAAGCTATGGAAACCTTGTTCTATGGGGAGGGGTCTACTGACCAGAACCCTAGTCAAGGTGTCTTGATCCAAAGCATATTAAAGGGTTCCTCTAAAGGTTTGCTTAGAGGAGAATCCAGGAAGAGAGTTTCTTCTGGAGAAGCCACAATAGGAAATGGTGTTCGTTGTTCTGATGCTGCTCCAGTTACAAGACGATCCAAGAAAACTAAGTCAAGTAAAGAGTCTTCAGTTTTGCTGGAGAAACATTCAAAAAATTTCAGAAAGGAGTGTGATACAGAGCTGCTTCTGCCAGAAATGAAGAAAGCTAAATCAAATACTGATG